TACTGTGGAGGATCAGTGTATTATGGCTTAACCAACCAAATTTTCCCATGAACATCACAGTTCCGTGTGAGATTTCCTAAAAAATAATACGCAATGTTCTGGAAGATTTTTGCTTTTACCCAAACATAAAAACTAATGCTAGTTGGTGTCAATTTTATAAGAAATGGTATCTTAGTGTGATGTCATGAAAGTCCAACATATTTCTTAGCTTGTTGATGTCAATGGAAGGGATATGGGTCCCACTATCATTGTAAGTGGTGATTGATGGGTCTGCTCCAATGTAATAAGAGAAATTCGTAATAACATTTTATTCCAACTAACATGGTCAGAACTGTTTGCTGAAGAAATTCTGTCTTGTGAGAGACCTAAAGGCAGCTATTGCTGACTATCTTTCCCCAGGTTGACCTTCCAGTTTCAGTACTTTATCACCTAACTAGAAAATGAATGCAGATTAGGATTTTTTGCTTTCCTGATCAGCATACTCATTTTAAAAAAATGTGAAAATATTGAAGCAAGACTGTCAGAAAAATGGCCAAGCAACTGGATTTTAAGAAGGCAATCGTAAAAACTGTGTTTTTGGGAAAAGTTTACTCTTTGGGTTAACATTTTAAGCATGAGCTTTATCCAAGCATCACAATGGGCAACTAAATTGGAAACAAGATGGGTCCTACTCGTTACCAGTTATCCAAGAAGCCATACTTATTTCATAAAACGGTATTTAAAGAATACAATGCATTTTGAAACAGATAAATGAAAATGAATAGCAAATATAATAAATTTAATATCATGTCATGCTGGTGAATTGAATTTAAGCGAGGCAGCGCTTAGTTATAAGAAGACTGGTCAGGAGAACAAGGAGCTGCTGAGATATCTCCATCTATACTCCACCATTCCAGGTATCTATACATAATAGGATAGTGCAATTGTGTTACTTCCATTTTTTCACAAATGTGTTTGTTTAAATGTATTGCAGTCTTATTTTATTTCCTTTTTTAACAATACTGTACATAAATTGTATTCACGATATGCAGTTGAATTTGCTGACATTTTAGGTTTGATTACCTGAAAGAAACAATTGAGTACTGTCCATGATACTTTTTTTATTTGCACTAACATACAATTTTCAGGACAAGCTTTCGGGATATGTCTCCTTCTTCAGGTCTAAGCAGTACTACTTCACAAAGTTTTAGCAGAGTGGTAAAAGAAACCATCTCTGAGGGGAAAATAAAACAGAAAAAAAACACACAAACAAATGTACACGGCAATAGTTATAAAACTGGGATTAGACTATAGATAAGACAGAGTAAAAGCAGAACCTGGATGGGGGGGGGGGGGGGGGGTAGTCAGTCACAGAGGGGGTCGTAAAACTGTTGGATCATGAGTAAGGTTGTTCTCTTTTGTATCAAATAGAAATATCATTCTTCAAACATTTTCCTTTGCTGAATAGTTTTGAAATTTCCTTTAAGAACTAAGATATTGAGGTCTTCCATAGCGTGGTCCGACTGTGCAAAATGGGGTCCAACAGGTGGGCAGAAGTCGTCTTCTTTATGTTCCTTGATGGTATGTCTGTGTTTGTTTGTTTTTTTTTTTTTCCCCTCATGGTTTCTTTTAGGCTCAGTTCACACTAGCTTTGTCAGCAGGTGTCAGAGAGGCGTTTGAGAAGCGTTTTTAACACTTCTCAAACGCCTATGAAAATTCTGCACAAGGCAGCACACAGTGCTGTTCACACTGAAGCGTTAACATCATGGCAAAACCGATGCCGCGTGTTGAGTCAGGAGGAGTTGAAGCCTCCCATTCAAGTCTACGGTGCTGCTCTGCAAACACTTGGCAGGTGGTTGCGAGGCGTTAATACCATTTAACTTCATTATAGGTGTTTGTGGTGTAGTTTTAACGCTTGGCAAACGCCTATCAACCGCCTCAAAACCGCGCATGAGTGTTTTTAACGCTCCCCAAATGCCTGTCTAATGCTACAGGGGCGTTTGGCAAGAGTTAGAAATAAAGTCAAGTGTGAACGAGCCCTTAACATTCTGCTAAAACTTTGTGAGTAGTATTGCTTGGACCTTAAAGAAGGGGACATTCCCCGAAAGCTTGTCCTGAAAATTGTATGTTAGTGCAAATAAAAAAAAGTATCACGTCAGTACTCAATTGTTTCTGTCACAAGTGCACTAATATGGCTACAATCACCTCATTACCTGAAAGCAAATACACTTTTCACTTATACACTGCAAGGACATTTTCCCCAGAGCTTAATGAATGTGGTGAAGCTTCACTTTTCAAAAAAATACCCAATCACATGCAAGAAAAACAAAAACACCTTTTTTTTTTTTTTTTTTTTTTTTTTTTTTTTGCACGACTGGATGATGGAAGCAGAGCTTCAACTCATTTACTATGCTCTGGGGATACTTCCCATGCAGAGTGCAACTGCACTTGCAATGTGAACTTTGTTTACCTTTAGTAATTGAACCCTTTGGTGTCCAAAATGTCTCTCCAGATAACATTTATTTTTTAAAAATTTTTTTTATTGCTCTGTTGCCTCATTGGGAAGATGTTCTCTCATTTTTTTGGCCTGGTGACAAGGTGTTACCAGTTTTCTATTGTTTTTTAATTTTATTTTGTGTATTGTTTATTTCTAGCAAAATAATTGTTCATTTTTATTTTTCAATGTGGTTTCCCCTGCCCTTGCGTTTTATTCTCTTTAGAGTGTATCTAAGCTTAAAGCGGAGCTCCACCCAAAAGGGGAAGCTCCGCTTTAAGGACTGCTCCCCATTAAGGATTGTCACCTTTTGGAAGGCGGGGGGGGGGGGGGAGCGGGTACCCGAATTTGACAGGTACCCGCTCCCACTTCCGGTCCGATTGGTTCCCACAGCTGTCAATCACAGCCAGTGAGCCATTGAGAAGAGAGGGGGTGGAGCCAAGCTACAGCTCCGTGTGTGTATGGACGCATGAAGAGGCAGGTGCCTCTATAGCAAGCTGCTTGCTGTGGGGGCATCCTTAGTAATTCTCTTCAAATCTAACCTAATTTCTCAATCGTTCAAGGAGTTGGTTTACTGCAGCTGGACAAAGCCAGATATTTACAGTTCAGACCCCCCAGTTTCCTTGCTTTAGTACTGAATAGTATGAAGGTAACTGGGAACTCCTTAACCTGGTGGATTATTAAAGACATTTTAAGGTGTTGTTTTTTTATTTTTTTTGTTTTGTTTTTTCTTGTGTAATGAAAATTGTTTCAGAAGGGCTCAACGCGTCTAGTCATTACATACTAAAGTCACCAAGTGATAAACTATGACTTTAAAATTTGAATTGGTCTAAAAATAAGTTCCATCTTTATAAATCTGCTATATGCATTGATGAAGTGGTTAAAATGTAAAATCCTAAAGTGGTTGTAAAAGCTCCAGGTTTTTTATCTTCATGCATTCTATACATGAAGGTAAAAAACCTTCTCTGTGCAGTATCCCCCCTAGCCCCCACCTATACTCACCCAAGCCCCCTCTTGATCCAGCGATGTGCACTGGAGTCTCGGTTATCCTGGGACTCCCTCTCCCCATTGGCTGAGACAGCAGTGGGAGCTATTGGCTCCCACTGCTGTCAATCACAGCCAGTGAGCCATTGAGAAGAAAGGGGGTGGGCCATGCCATAGCTCCATGTGTGTATAGACACATGGAGCAGCCAGTGCCTCCATAGCAAGCTGCTTGCTGTGGGGGCACCCGACAGGAGAGAGGGCCAGGAGCACCAGCGGGGGACCCCAGAAGAGGAGTATCTGAGCTGCTCTGTGCAAAACCACTGCATGCAGCAGGTAAGTATAGCATGTTTGTTATTTAAAAAATAAGTCTTTAATATCACTTTAAAAGTCAATATCTAACTTAGTCTCTTGCTCATATTGGGATTCTTTGTAAACATTTATTTTTTTATTTTTCATACAGGTAAACTATTAGCTCACCTGGAAAGTCAACACCGTGAAAAAGAAAAATCACAGAAACAGATTTTTTTTAGCTCAAGATGAGTAAAGTTGAAAAGAAGCCTTATCAGTGCTCAGAGTGCCAGAGGAGTTTCACTTACAAGTCACAACTCAATGTTCACCTGAGGATTCACACCGGAGAAAGGCCGTATCAATGTTCCAAATGTGACATGCGCTTCTCACAAAGTTCTAGTCTATCCAAACACCAGACGACTCACACAGGAGAGAAGCCGTTTAGATGTTCAGAATGTGACAAATGCTTCTCACAAAGTACGAGTCTTACTAAACACCTGAAGCTTCACACCGGAGAGAAACCATTTAAATGTACAGAATGTGACAAATGCTTTTCTCAGAGGTTTAATCTCATCGAACATCAGTATACTCACACAGGAGAAAAGCCATTTAACTGTTCAGAATGTGGCAAGGGTTTCTCGCACAGTTCTCATCTCACGAAGCATCAAAGGATTCACACAGGAGAGAAGCCATTTAGGTGTTTGGAATGTGACAAATGCTTTTCCCACAAGTTTAATCTAGCTGAACACCAGAAGACTCACACGGGAGAAAAGCCGTTTAAGTGTTTAGAATGTGGCAAATGTTTCTCACACAGTTCTCATCTTACTAAACACCAGAGGGTTCACACAGGAGAGAAACCATATATATGTTCAGAATGCGGCAGATGCTTCTCTCATAAACACATTCTGGTTACACACCAGAAGACTCATACACGAGAGAAGCCAAGTGAAGGATGTGACGACGATTGTTTTTTTATAGAAATTGAAAATGAAGCAACGTGAAGATTTATACAGTGGGGAGAAACTATATTTATGTGTGTCATAAGTATTTCACATGTAAAAAAACTCTGATTAAGATTTAAAGGTTAGCCATATCAAAAATCTAACAAAGTAACAAATATTTTTTGAAACTGCCCCACCAGCACTCAAGAGAGGGAGCCACTGTACGAAAAGAAACTTCGAGAGGTATTTAATTCATACCAGGACATTTAAGTTTATATAAGAAAAGAACAAATATCAAGGAGTGGAAACTGCATTTATTTTTTGACATACCCCCCTGCTACATTTATGCACGCATCCCAGCGTTTAATGCCTGGAAAGCTTCAGCATAGATTTGTCAGTACGCTTGAACCATCCTAGAACAGCCTGGCTTCACTTCGTCATCGTTCCCACAGAAAGATTCGTCTCTTGTGAAATTTCACAGCAAGTGATGCGTTGATTATCCAGGATCAGGCATTCCACGTGGTGAATGTTCACAGGAATGACTGCTGTGGGCTGGGAACCACCATGGCCGGGATGGTCACTGGCGGGCATACAGCTATCTTTGAAATGTTTACACCATTCAAACGTCTCATCACTGTACTGTGCTTGAAGTCTTCTGTAGATATCTGCGGGTTTTACGCCTTCGCTCGCAAGAAACTTCATCACACCACGCTGTTCCATGCACTCACTAACACTGTTGTCTGCCATTTTGATTAATGGTCTCTGGACTGGCCGCAACATGTGTGTTGCCTTTCAGTAATGGGACACACTGGCCACTTACTGCCGTGTGTAGTACAGCCACATTAGCACCCCTTTTTATGCCTGTAAAATTAAACGTCCCGGTTTGACTTGAACACTCCTCGTGTAACACCAGTACTGGGCCTTACGGGACTCATTTTAGGGGCTTGCGGTCCATAAGATACAATTGGCACTTTATTGTTGTAGTAATTAAAAGCATTTCATTCTCAGAAACCTAAAACAATATTTAAAAAGGCTTTTTTCCAATTCAAATGTGTCATAATTTTTTTAGAGGATGGCTAAATTACAAATCTGTTAAAAAAGGATGATTAATTTGTGTTGATGTACCCAAAGGTATACAAATAAACTGTAAAATATACAAATAATTCACGCTTTGGTTTCCATCAGTTTAAGATTGTAATTAATTGATCTTGAAGTTAGTATAAAAGTCTGAATTCTGAACCACTTACTTTAACCGCTTGAGCTCCAGAGGATTTACCCCCCTTAATGACCACGCCTCTTTTTGCTACTCGGCGCTGCACTAATTTAACTGATAATGCAATGCTGCACCCAAACGAAATTTACGTCCTTTTTTTCACACAAATAGAGCTTTCTTTCGGTGATATTTGATCATCTGTGCGCTTTTTATTTTTCACGCTATAAACAAAAAAAGGCCAAAAAGTTTGAAGAAAAACAATATTTTTTTACTTTCAGCTATAAAAAATATATAGTAAACTCAAAGTTGTTTATAAATTTAGGCCAAAATGTATTCTGCTCCATGTATTTGGTAAAAAAATCCCAATAAGTGTATATTGATTGCTTTGTGTGGAAGTTATAGCGTCTACAAACTATGGTATAGATACTGCAATTTATGCTTTTTTTTTTTGCTATACAGCGCTGCACTAGTTTAACGGACAATTGCGCGGTCATGCAATACGGTACATAAATGAAATTTACATCCTTTTTTTTTTCATCCACAAATTGAGCTTTCTTTTGGTGGTATTTGATTGCCTGTGCGGTTTTTATTTTTTGCGCTATAAAAAAAAGGCTGACAATTTTGAAGGAAAAAAAAAACAATATTTTGGACTTTTTGCTATAAGACATGTCCAGTAAAAAAAAATGCAAACATCAAATTTAGTCATAAATTTCTGCCAAAATGCATTCTGCGACATTTCTTTGCTAAAAAAAAAACCAATACGTGTAAAGTAATTGGTTTCCGTGAAAGTTATAGCGTTTACAAATGGCGGGAAAGATACTGGGATTTTTAATTTTTTTTATACTAATAATGGCGGCGATCAGTGACTTATGGCAGCGACCAGCGACTTATGGCGGGACTGCGGCGGACATTCTGACATTGGGGGGTACTGACTTGGGGTCACTGACATCCCCAAAAACACTAATACAGTGATCAGTGCAAAAAAAATAACACTGACACTGTACTAATGGCACTGGGGAGGAAGGGGTTAACTTTATTTTGCAGGGAAGGGTTATCTGTGTGAGGGGAGTGTTTTACTAGGAGGCGGGGGGTGTGCTGCACAGGACACCACTGATCGAGAGAGAGAAACTCGTCTTCGAGCTGTCAGGGAAGTGACAGACAGCACAGCTACTGCAGCTGTGCTGTCTGTCAATGTTTGCCGCCGATCGCCGGGAAACAGCCAGTAAGGACCGGCTGTGACCCGGCGACTGACATCCGCGGCGGTGATCGGTGGGACAGATAGGGCGGCGGCGCGCCCTGCGCGCGCCCCCTTCTGTTTACAAAACACACGTTTTAACACGTGGTTTTGCCTGCCCGTGCCGCCCTGGCGCCGTATTTCTACAGTGGCTGGGCGGCAAGTGGTTAACTAGGACCAAATATTTGAACTCTTTCACTCTATGTTCCACACTAAGGCTCTGTTCACATCTATACGGGTGGCTGCTGGTGCAGGAATCTCTGCGATTCCTGCACCCAAAACCACCCTCAGTGAAAACGTGGCACCTCCACGTATGTAAAAACAGTGTGTGTGGGTGCCGGAACTACAAGGAAATCTCATTGTTGTAAAAAAGGTGCATTTTTCTGCGGGAAACGCATGCACGGCAGTCTGTTCAAATAAGTGGGCTGCTGTTCCCGAGCAAGCGCGGCCCACAAAAGCGCATAAATGTGAACCGAGCCTAGAGAAATCATATTAGCAGAACGTTACGCTTTAAGTTGTCAGTAAGAACAATTAGATTTGATCCACAGGTTGAATCCCTATGTTTAATTAAAGTTAAAGTGGTTGTAAAGGCTTTTTACCTTCATGCATTCTATGCGTATAAATCCTTCTCTGTGCAGCATTTCCCCCTCCCCAAACCCCACCTAATACTCACCTAGGCCCCCTTTCAATCTAGATATATGCACTGGAATCTCGGCTACCCCGGGACTCCCTCTCCTCATTGGCTGAGACAACAGTGGGAGCCGTTGGCTCCCATTGTCATTGACTCCCAATCGCAGCCAGTGAGCCAATGAGAAGAGAGAGGGGTGGGGCTGAGCCGCGGCTGTGTGTGTGGATGGACACATGAAGCAGCTGCTGGGGAGTGCGCATGCTTGGGTGCCCCCATAGCAAGCTGCTTTTTGTGGGGGCACCCGACAGGAGGGAGGGGCCAGGAGCGCCTGCAGGGGACCTGAGAAGAGGAGGATCCTGGCTGCTCTGTGCAATTCCACTGCACACAGCAAGTAAGTATAGACATGTTTGTTATTTTAAAGGAAAAAAAAGTAAGCCTTTAGAATCACTTTAATAATGTCGAGAGTGGCGATCGCCGGTCCCCTGTGTCCAAGGGAGACAGCGGATCATGGAAAGAGCTGAAGATGTCGGCTCGGTCATGTGATCAGCTGTGTCCAATCACAGCTGATCACATATAAACACGGAAATGCCGGTTATCGGCATTTCTCTCCTCTCGAGCTGTCACGCTGACCGAGAGGAGAGAGAAGAGCCGGTAATCGGCTTTCCGCGGAGGGGACATGTACACTGATCATCAGAGCACTGATGATCAGTGTGCCCTGATGATCAGTGTGGCCCCAGAAGTGCCACCTATCAGTGCCAGTGCCCATCAGTGCCACATCAATGCCACATACCAGTGCACATCAATGCCACATATCAGTGCCCATCTGAGCTGTCTTTCAGTGTCACCCATCAGTGCCAGTCAGTGCCACCAATCAGTGCCGCCTATCAGTGTCAGTCAGTGCCACCTATCAGTGCCAGTCAGTGCCGCCTATCAGTGCCATATATCAGTGTCATGTATCCGTGCTGCCTTTCAGTGCCCATCAGTGATGCCTGTCAATGCCCATCAGTGCAACCTACCAGTGCCTCCTCATCAGTGTCCATCAGTGCAGCCTATCAGTGCCCATCACTGCAGCCTCATTAGCACACATCAGTGAAGGAGAAAAATCACTTATTTGCAAAATTGTATAACAAAAACTAAGAAAAAACGTTTTTTGTTTTCAAAATTTTCTGTGGTTTTTGGTTTAAGAAAAAATAAAAAATCCCAGTGGTGATTAAATACCACCAAAATAAAGCTCTATCTGTCTAAAAAAAAATGATAAAAATTTAATTTGGGTACAATGTTGCATGACCGCGCAATTGTCATTCAAAGTGTGACAGCGCTGAAAGCTGGAAATTGGCCTGGGCAGGAAGGGGGTATAAGTGGCCTGTAGGCAAGTGGTTAAGCAAAGTAATATCAGGTGTACAGAGTTCTGACATTTTTTGTGATTTTTTTTTTTTTTTTTTTTTTTTTTTTTGTGCTTGTTGCTGTCTTGAATAAACTACTTTGATGTCTGAAGAACATGGCACATATAAACTTGCTAATATGAATTAGAAAGAGAAATACAGAGATCCATATACAGAACAGTGAATTTATAATGGCAAATTTATTGGAATATTGTCATCCTAGCAGTTGGCATAATAAATGTATAAGATTTTGCTGTGAGAAATGTTTTTTTTTTTTCTTCAAGCGTCGTCTTTGACCTGCAATCCAATATTTAAACCACTCTTCCACCACTGTAGGCTGGGAAGAGGCTGGATAAGAGATTTTGAAACTAGTTTACTAGGGAGAAGATGTTGGTTTAAAGGATAAGTTCACCTTTTGGACAAAAATAATAAATGCACATTGTTTTGCAGGTAAAAAAAAAATGTTTATTTTGTTTGTCCAAAGGAGCCTGGAAAGCATTGCACCAATGATCAGTAGATGGCTGGTGCCATGCAGGTCTCCTGCCGACCTGTCAGAATATCTGCTTGCTGTAGGGGATGTACGATTAACCAGATATTCTGACTGAAAACTGTGGTAGTTCATTGAAAACTAAAAGCCGACAGCCACAAAGGCTGCAGGGACTTGTAGGCACTCATTCACAGAACACCGTGCTGTTTTAAAATCTGACAGACAGTACGGGGAGGGCGGCGGCAGAAGTGGCTGCGGCTATTGGAACATGTTACATGTTCCACCCTAAAAACGGGTGGAACATGTTACATGTTCCACCCTAAAAAACGGGTGGAACATGTTTCAAAGGTGAACGTATCCTTTAATATTGTGATCTGTGATTGGCCCATAGCAATCGCATGGTACCTGGTAGCCAATCACCGCTCACAACCATACATATACAGGCATATAGCAGAATATATTTTGGCCTAAATGTATGAAGAAATTAGATTTTGGATCTGTTTTACAACAGGAAGTAGAAAATATCTTTTTTTTTTTTTTTTTTTTTTTTTTTTTTAATTTTTGGTCTTTTTTTCGTTTTATATAATAAAACAAAAAAAAAAAACCCAGCGGTGATCAAATACCACCAAAAGAGAGCCCTATTTGTGTGAAAAAAAGATATATATTTAATTTGCATAGTTTTGCATGACCGCACAATTGCCAGGTAAAGTAGTGCAGTGCCAAATAGCAAAGAATGCCCTGGTCATTAAGGGGGTAAAACTTTCTGGAGTTCAAGTGGTTAAATACCGGTACTTTTTTTTACA